GTGTAAAAACATAAAAATAAAAAAGGCAACATTAGTCCACTCTTGTGCATAAGTGACATATAAAACTCTATACTTTACTAAAAAGTTCACTGTCAGTGTACTGTATGTGCACTGGAAGTTTCAAGTGAAGTAACAATGAGGAGAACACACTGTTTGAGTGTAGAACCATTCTATCTGTTTATTTATTTAGTGTAATTCAACTTAACATTCGTGATCTTGGCACACTTTTAATTATTTAGCTATTTCATGGACAGTGGTTCATTTCCCAAGTAATATACTTATCTATCTATCTATCCATCCATCCATGCATCCATCTATCTATCTCTATACTGTATATACAGTATATATATATATATATATACTTGAGAATATGGATTGAAAAGCTGGATATATTGAATGAAACTTGAGAATATATATAATGAAAGTCTGACTATATATAATTAAAATCTGAATATATTGATTGAAACTTGAGAATATATATAATGAAAGTCTGAATATATATATAATGAAAAGCTGAATATATTGAATGAATCTTGAGAATATATAATAAAAGTCTGAATATATATATAATGAAAAGCTGAATATATGGAATGAACCTTGAGAATATTGAATGAAAGTCTAAAGTGGCTATTGCGACTATGCTTTAAGACAGTTTGCAGATACCTGTGAGAGTACAACGTTTAGCATTAAGCTAGCGTTAAGGTTCTTTCTGTAACGTTCCTACCACTAGCCTGGTGGCTAGGAACAGGCTGGCTAGTAAGACTCGCTACATTTGGCCGTCCTCGAATAAATTTTGTCATCAGTGGTACAATATTGGGTGGGGTTTATGGTATTATCTTGGGTGCTGCATGCATTTGCCAATGTGTTAATTATTTCTTCGTTATTTAGGATGGCAGCCACTACATTTCTTGCTGACTGGCTCATTGTCAACTTCACAGTAGACTGAGCAAACGAAAAATGCACAGTTAAGGCACAAGATGGCACACGCGTTGATGACCTGAGGTTTCATTTCATATATATATATATTTAGCTTTTCATTATATATATATTCAGACTTTCATTATATATTCTCAAGATTCATTCAATATATTCAGCTTTTCATTATATATATATATTCAGACTTTCATTATATATATTCTCAAGTTT